GTCTCAACTTCCCCTCCTCCCTCTAACTCGAAACCTGGTTTCCACATTCAGCGGGCACACTCTCAAGTCCCGACACTCTGCACTTATACACGCACAACTAAAATCTCTTGGACCGCAACACCCTGCCCCGGTCCGTCGCTTTCACTCGCACCGGTCCTCCCGCGCACCGACTACAACCGTCGCCTCTCGCTCATCAGCCGTTCCTCCTTCCCCACCCCCCCCCCCGATTTTGACCGTTTGGTGGGCGCGGCGGCGTTACTGGCGTCCTGATCACCTCCAGTATTTTATCTTTAAATTTACTCTCACACTCTAGTGATCAATTTCTAACTTGTTCCTAATTACAGACAACCGTTCCTCGCTCTTCAATATATTGGATTGAATGTGGACTCTCTGCGTCTCGATTAGCGCCTGGACCTCTGACTGCGCAATCCCCTTCGGCGCTACGCTCCTCCGCTCTCATCGCCCGCTCCTCCGCGCCCTACGCTAGGCCGCGCCGCTGCACCCCAACTTCTCCTCGCAGGTGTTCACAAACGTTCTCCCTCTCTTGTTGGCCTTTTTGACTCTCGTTATGAACCTCTTCTGGTCGTAACCAAATTCTTCGCTTTAGAAACCCCCCGAAACTACGTCAAAACCTCTTCTAAACTATGCCCAACAGACAACTAAAAAATGGGGAAAATATGTGAAATTATCCCCAAAATTACGACCAAAGACTTGGAGATGGAAATTACAGGCCCGAACATTACATTTCAAAAATAGGCCAGAAAATTTGTGAATAAAAACGTAAGGTTCATGCCGTAATAACTATTGGTCCAGGTCAGGTGCTCGCACGCGCAAAATTACGGTGTGCAATTGGCCGCTGATGAAACCTCGCCTGCCTACATGACAGGCTTTAATATATCTGTCTAGTTCTAGTCAGCCTGTCTAGCGCGGCGTCTCCCGTACATTGGGAAATTGTTAAGGTCTGCGTAAAATTTGTTGTATAGCTGAGAATGGTCCTAAATTAAATTAAAAATGTTAAATGGCACGAGGGGGCCCAAACATAATACTAGGCTGCCCGTCTCGTTTAGGCTTGCGCAAGACTACGTGCCGATACACTGTTGGTCCAACAGAAATTGTACTGATATATCTGCATACGCGGCATCTCATATTTGGGGATTGCCGGAGCCAACCATTAGTGCCGGCAGGCATTAGTGCCGCAACATTAGTGGCAACGGAGGCAGAACGCAGAGACACGAATCGGCGGTAGCTCTGCTACGCCACGTGTTCCATGCGGCCACGTGTCATCTGCTGCTCGACGCTCCAACGTTGCTACCGGAAAGTGCAAGATCGCGGGTTCCGAGTGTTTTGGACGCCACTTGCCGGTCTACATTGGCCGTGATGGAACATTAGAAAGGTACGAAAATGCCCCGAGGAAGGCGTCCAATGTGTTGGCCGAGATCGTCACAGCCGACAAGGAGAAAGGAGAGAGTGCGGCTCTCTCGGCATTCAATCAAACAAACGGCCGCAGAAGCCTACGCATTCAACATAGGAAGTCTTATGAACTTCTAAAACTAGTCACTACGTCAAATTAAAGATACTACTTTTTTTTAATTTTATTTCTGCCTGCTCGGCATTTCTGCCTTTCAGGGGTGTTCAATTAATACAAAATTTCTACACATATAACTTTTAGGGATGGACATCCGCATGCGTTACCCTCCTCTCCTCAGGGGTCTGATGATAACTTGTTACTTTGAGAAGAAAACTTGGATGAGCAGTTTTTGGAGTTATATGTGATAATTTTGAAGAGAGGGTGTCAGTGGGTGGATTTTTGGCAACACGTGGAAGATGGGGTAAAATGATTTAAGGTGGACGAAGGGAGTCTTTAGGGAATCGGTGGATCTTATTCTCTCTTTTTGGTGAACTATACGTTTTACTAGCTTGAATATGGTTGTACTGCGGGCGATTGGGGAAGGGATGAGAAGACATTTATGGGACATAAGAAATTTAATATAGTCGTTAATGGATGATATAATTTAGTTCATTTTAAAGATAATACTAACTACTTCTCACCGTATTGATTATTACTTTCCGTGCCAAATATCTGAGAGACTGGTGTGATAAATGTCATTCTGTTACGAAAAACGTTGTCTTCAGCCTGCACCTTCTTCATCCCCAAGATGATAGGACTGGAGCCAAACGCTTCGAATGGATGCTGCGCTACTGAGCGGCGCTGTCTCGGTTGTCAGGTGTGACAGTTCGGCCCACTCTAATTTGAACGTTTATTTCAATTCGACATTTAATATTAATTTCAGCAATTTTATGCCAGTAATATATATTATTTTACGCGGGTCAGTTTCTATTTGTTCATTCGCTCAAGCTAGTGGTGAATATTTAAACACTATTTTATGTTAATTCAATTTAATTTAATTTAATTTAATTGCGTATTTATTTCTTTTTACCATAATAGTAATTAAAATTGTCTTACGAGTATTTATTATAGCACTGAAGGTAAGCGGAATGCGATAGATACTATTTTATTATCATATGAACGTTCGATAGTGAATTTTAATTTTTCTCGAATAAAGTCATTTAAGATATAGAATGATTTACGAACACTTACCATGTAATATTTTTACATACATGATGTTTTGAAAAAAATAATTTTTTGCTAACTTTGCTGTAACTAGCTATTTTTACTCGTATTTTGCTGTACCTATCCCGCTGTGCTACTTTGTCGTACGGCACCGACAACAAAATGGAATTTGCTCTTCATTAAACAGTACCTAAATGGATGTAATGGTTTCCAAACATGAAGACTCAAATCGTACGTAACAAATGCGTGATTCGCACACATTTGTGTTATGAACACTACTTTTAACACGCTGCTTTTTACTACTTTTAAATCGCTTCTGTAACTCATTTTTATTTACTTTTACCGAAGTAAATGGTTCGTATCTGTCGTATGTAAATAATAAACAAAAACGTCGTCAAGACAAAAGACGTTTGCGAAATGTTGCAGATGCGCGCGACCTTCGTAATGTTTCGTAAATCATTGGAATAACAATTAGTTTTTTTCGCACACTAAACCTAAGCAGGGTTGTCACTTTGGGGATTTTATTCCTAAATTTGTGATTTATTTTTCCTTTAGTAGCAATTTTTGTGAGAAAAGTCTTTAGAGATTTTTGTTGAGGATTTTATTTTCATTATACTTTTGAAACAAAAAATATTCCAAAATAAATAGAAGAAATTAAAATAAAATTATCTATTTTAATTTAAATTAAAAAACTGAATAAACTTGTCTCATCCGTACCGAAACCGATTAAGTAAGATATGCAGTAATTTCTATATCCGAGGTCCAGAGGTACGAAGTTTAAGTGGCACGAGTATCTCTTTTTCTGTCATTAGAATGTGTAAGACAAAGATACCTACGCTTCGTAACTCCTATATAGTCTGAAACTCCTTAAAACCAAACGTATACACCATGTGAATGTATGTACATACATTAGTAAACAAATAATTATATATTTTATATATTAAAAATGTTGGTGTTTACTGTCAAATATAAATATTGTCGTATACAATTAATGGTATTTTTCGTATTTCTTTAATTTCTATGCTTCTTCGTATAAACATAAGATTTTTTTAATTTGGTGTTTTTTGTCGTTTTGGTGGTCTTTGTGGCGCTATTTAACACAAAATGCTTAAGGCCACCTGACAACACTGAACATAAGCACTAGAAACGGAGTTTTGCGCACTGTTTTAGGACAATAGCTTACCTCGAACAGTGGCTGCAACGTTGTAGAAACAGCCACGAGGAGCAGCAAGCAGAACAGAGTGGTGAGTGCAGCCATGATGACGATCCAAATCTTCGGAAGGCAGGTAAATACGTTCGTCTATCATTTAAGCCCGCGAGAGCAGCTTTGCTCCGCCCCAGATGTTGCCTGCTACTGCGTCTCGTCTCGCCTCGATTTCGAATGGAAATGTTTACGTCACACGAGAGGCGCCATCGCGGACGTCGTCTTGAGGTCACTATGCCACTGTGCATCTGTTTACGCGCGTTGCCTTATCGAGTTTTTACGGAGATTACTCGCCACGAAATTAAATGTCAATGTTGGGTGAGAATGGAGAATCTTCATATTTAAAACTCGAATGATTTTCGATTAGAAAGAAGTTAGAACTTCTGTGTTGCTTTTTTTTCTTTAAATGTACTGGGGTCTGGATGTGTTTTATTTGCTCTTATTTATCGTTTTTAAAATAAAAATTTACTAATTTATATTAATATCTTAAGATTCATACAATAAACGCGTGTCAGCCGTGATTTGTTAATTTTGTCTTTGCGTTGTACGAGTTGCAATCAGTCTATTGAAAGCAATCTACGTTTCGTGTAGCGCCAGCAAGCTTGTGAGTGTTGTTCAGTTAGCGAAGTGAAGATGGTGAGTTGTTTTTAGAACTGAAAATTGACAGTTTTTCTATATATGCAAAGATTAATGAGAGCATATAAACGAAATGTCCACCAAACATCCTATACTTGTGTTCATTTACAAAAAAAGTTAAGTAGTTATAATCACTAAATAATATAAACATATATAATTATAATTATAATTATGTGATGAATTGAATTTTTAATCTCAGGTGGATAGCAGGATTACATGCACAGATCTGGGTAATTATAAAATATTTCAATTACATTAAAAAAGCATGTTGAACTCTGTGTTCGCAGCGAATAGTTATTGTGTTGTTATAGTTAGTAAAACTCCCTAATTTTATTAGTAGTGGAGAGTAAGTAATGAACGTGATGACATAATATTTTGAGTTTCGAATTTCTTTGGAGTGCAAATGTTATTTGCATTATAAATTTCCAGTAGCTCTTCCTCGTGCACAATGCACTAGCAAGTGTTATGCTTGTTGAAATATTTAACTGGTAAATTCCAGGTCCTTGCTATTTTCTGTCATTGATTCTTTTAATTTTTCTATATAATGTTATTTAGATTTTACATTGAAACTAAATGTGTTGTAGATGTAGAGTATTATGAAGGCGAGAGCGTAGGCTTCCGCGGTCGGAGTTAGTATTTACTAGGCTGTCCGGGTGACGCCGCGTCCATGGCGAAGGTGCCAACGTTTCGGTCGCCATTCTCTTCGGCGAAGGCCACGTGGGTTCGTGAGGCCCGGCCTGTTGCGGGGGAAACGTGGTGGCACGACGGCGGGCGGTGGCGTGTGGAGCTGCAGGCGGGTGCGGGGGGTGGGCCGGGTTGTGGTTGGGGGGGGGCGGAGGCGGTTGGCAGGAGGGCCGGGCAAGCGTAGGGGCGCGTGTAGGTAAGCGTGTGGGGCTTTGGGGAAGGTGGGAAATGAGGAAGGGGTCCGAGGGTGGGGGGGAAGTGAAGGAGCGGGGGGTCGTGGGGAGGGGAGGGGGTGGAGGAGCGTGGGTCGAGGGGGAATGGAGAAGAGGGGAGGAGTGCGGGGAGGGAGGGAGTAGAGGGAGAGGGGGAGGGGAAGATGGGTAGGGGAGGTGGAGATGGAAGGGAGGGGAGGGGGGAGGGGGGGAAGAGGGGAGGGGAGGGAGAGGGGGAGGGGGAGGAGAGGACAGGACAGGAGAGGGGGAGGGAGAGGAGGGATAAGGGGACGGGGGGGGTTGT